AAAGCCCATTGCCTCTGGCATACCTATGATTAACTTCCCATTCAATTGTACTCTCCAAAGAGTTCTTTCCAGTATCTGAAGGGGCCTACAAGGAAGATGGAGAGGGACTTTTCAGCAGGAAATATAATGATAGGACAAAGAGTAATGGGCTCAAGCTGAAAATCTTGAGCTCAGCTGCTAATGATGAATTTCCTCATCTTTTCTGCAAATCACATCTTTTTTCCTTTTAAGGAAAGTCTTCAATCATCACTGTGGTAAATATAAGCTCAGAAAAAATAGTTAGCAAGAGTACGGGTCTGTATTGTCTATTGCATTAATGTTCCAGCCAACAGACATTGCACTTTTACTGCCATCTGCATGGACAATGGAAAATTTGAATACAAATATATGACTAAAAAAAGACAACACTCATATTTCTATAAAGATGAATCACATGATGTACTCCTCTTCTGGACATCAAACAAAGCAAATCTATTTTATATTACATGGATTTTGCTTCCTTTTCACAGAAAAAATATAAAGCTTTAAGCCTGGGTTAACTCTAACTGCCACTGGTAGGGGACTGCTCATCTTTCTTTCTCCTTTCTCTGTTTCAAAACGATGCAAACATCCACGTAATTGCTGAGAGAAAATTATTCGAGGCAATTTTTTTTCCTGAGCTTTAATATTGTATAGAGACAAAGGTGTAAATTGCTGCCCTCTTAAAACGTCTTTGCTAAAAATTGTCTCTCTGAAAAGAGGAGCACAGCAAGGTGTGAATTCTACCCTGAGTGCAACTGTCACTTGACTGAGGTGCTAAATGGGAAAGCTGTTATTTTAATCAGAAATGAGACTGGCTCTCAAAAACATTAACTCAAAGACAATTAAACCTCAGCTATCGTTGGATAATTTTTCTTTTACTCCTTATTTTCCCCAGTAATGGATTGTGTTTAGTTATTGTAAGAAGGCCATAAGTGAATGAAAGCTTAGTTGGAAACAGCCCAAGGTTGTTAAAGAAAAGACAAACCCTGGTCACAGGGTGCACTCCCCCTGGTCACAGGGTGCACTCCCTGGGGATGCTGAGGATGGGGTGGTGATCCCTCCCTGGACATGTCCCAGTGGAGGTTGGAAAGCTGCTCTCAGGACACTGCTCCGGGCTCTGCTGGCTGGGACAGAACATGAGAGCTGCACTCTAAGCTTTATAATCAAATACTCAGCGCTCTGCAACTTTGCCTTCCCAAATCCTGTGCTGTAACCATCTCGAGTTGATGAGAACTTGATGTAGACTATCTCTTCACTCTGGCAGCTATTTTCAGCATATCAGCCTGACTCGCCCCGGGCTGGTTTAACTAATGCTGATAAGGACAGTTAGTGCCAAAAAGGACAAGTGTCTGCTCCTCCCATCGGGCACAGATGTCAGTATAAGCAATGACAAAATTTATTTTGGAAAACGTGTCTGCACAAGTTAGACCTTCCCGTTCACACAGTTCTAGATACGGTGCCAACTTAAACTGATTCCAGTTAACTCTCAGTCCTTCCCTTTCTCTGCCTGCCACCCAGCCACTCCCTTTTTTTAATTTATTTTTTTTTTAATGGTAGCTGGCACGCAGGCAAATAACTTGGAAAAAAAACCAACACTTAAAGGAGCTCAGCTGGCTGAAAAAAAAATGTCTTCGTGTTTGGGCAGCCTGGCTTCCCAAACTATCTTATCCACCGGTGTCCTGAGCTCTAGTGCCAGCACACATGGGAGTTTGGGGCTTGGGGGAGAGCAGGACTGTGGCACATCCAATTTAAATTATTAACCTCCAGGTGGGTCCACACTGAACACCAACAGCCTGCAACAGAAATGGTCGTGTCCTCCTACCTCAATTCCCCAGTCCTGGCCAGACACTCCCTCATGCTGACTCTGACCCAGATTACAGAGTAAAGCGACAGTTTGGTGATCAATTCCTTTTCCAGAACAATATGTGTCCTAGAAATAAATACAATGACTCCATCCTATAACTAGAAATCTAGACCCAAAGTCCCAAGGGTTTTCTCCTTCACTTTATTTTTCTTCCCTATTTTTTTCCCTCTTGCCCTGCTATGTACTTTAGGAACTATATGGTCCTTTGGGGAATATTGTCTCAGGTATTGCAATGGCTGATGATATCAGCTCCTCCTGCACAAGACAGAAACTGAAACAGAAAATAAGCCTGTTTTCCTTGTATGGGATGGACATGTCCTGTGTGACCTCTGTAACACAAACATGGATGATTTCCATATCACTGCTTCTGGTATGTCAAGCCTGTAAGTAACTTCATTTGGTGCTCTTTCACCAATCCCCTCAAGAAGCTAAACACATAGTAATTTCACTTCATAGAAGGCCAGGCAGATAAGGACTTATATAAAATTTAGAGAAGATTATATTGATTATACATTTTATTTCAAGTTATCTATTAGTTCAGGCTGAGACTAATGTAGGGGTAGTACTGAAGGATTTTTTTTAACATTAAACACATGAGATGGATTTTTTATATTCAACATAAAACATAAGATTCTTGAGCATGGGGCAGCATTTTCCATAACAGAGATCAGAAATAATTTTCCATTTGCAAATTGTGTGTGGGTCTGGATTGCAGACCTCTGCTCTGGCGGATACATTTTCCTTTCTGACTGGATTCTGCCTGCATCCTGAAGCCTTTTTTGGGCTTGATCCAAAATGCTGGCACTAGTAGAAATCTATTCAAAAAGTTTTGAACCTGACCTTTTCTTTTGTGAGTGTCATTTTCACAGTTATCTCTTTCTCCCATTGTGTCTAGTGTTCCAGGAAGTATCAGTCACTAAAAATCTACAGAATGTCAGGATGACATCCTCTAATAAACCTGCTAGTTTTATGTCTTTTCAGCTGGACCAATGCTTGCGGTAGGGAAGCAGGGAATTTTTTTTTTTCTTTTAAAAAAATAATTATTGAACCCTGTAGTGTTCATTTGCTGGAGTGTGAACAATTTTCATGAGTGTGAACTTGACTACATCAGTGTTGCCTTTGATTTAAATAAGACTAGGAATAGGTCTGTCTAGGCTAGCCAAAATGTGGAGCTCATGTTTTCTAGATGCAGTATAGTATTAATTTTAATTACTAGCTAGGATTTATTTCACAGGAGGGTGAGCATCTCCATTCTAATGACAAATCATTTTCTCTTTCTGTAATGACTGTGATTGCCTCATTATACTTTCCATGGTATATAATTTCTGTGTTGACAGAAGTGGATGTACAGCAAAAAACCTCACTCATCCAGTCAGCCTGGGACACTCAACTCAGATTACCCTTTAAAGTCTGCAGAACTATTAGAAACCAGAAGAGTGCAAAATCTTAATACCCCTACTTTGAGGTTCTGGTTCCTTTAGCTTCAGATTACATGAATATTTTCTTTCACTCACAGAAAGAAAAGATAGATCTGTTCTGTCATTAAATAAAATGCTTGAAACCTCCAGAAGTGAAATTCTATGCTTTACATATAGTATCCAGCATCTTATTGGGTAGATTTGTTTTTAAAAGGAGATCTAACAGACACTGTGAGTTGTCATGTCCTTATAAGATGTAAGCACTGCTTATCTGAACCTTCATGGAAAATGACAATGCGTTTGCCCTACTTATCAAAAAACTGATTCTGAGCTGGCAGGTAAAAGCTGCTGCTTTACTCAGAGTAACCGACCATTTTGAAAGACATCAGTGAGTGTTCACATATTCACAATTCCAGCAGAAATGGAGACATTGCCGATTTTAGCACTAGGAACCCTTTATTGAATGAAAGGTGTAGCACCTCCTAAGTGCATCTGAAAAAAACCCTTTTGATAAGGGCAGAAAAATTTGGTTTTTAAACTCTCACCTTATACATACAGAACTTAATCATATAAATACGTATTTGAACTTAATTTATTATGGGCATCATAGAAAAACAACAAATGGTAACACTTTCAAAATTTGTTTGGAATGCAAATCTGGATTGCGCAACTTTTATGTAACTATTTGGTTATGGGAGCGTTTTCCCAATAGAGACAGAGCCGTGGACACAACAAAAGATATGGTACCAATACCCTTTACAAGTGTCAGAAGCACATTTATGTCAAACAGTTTTGGTATTGCAGTACGTTGTAACACACACATGGCAATAAATTAACGGAAAAATAAATCTTGTCGAATGCACTTTGTCTTCTGATAAATGTATCTGGTGGTTTTGCTGTACGCGAAGCATGAACTAGGTTTGTCTGGAACCGGCGAGGGCTGCTATTTTGGACACCATTCTACAGAACCAAAGTCTGATTTGCCCCTTTCTGCACAGGCTCTCGTCTCCCTTTTGTCTCCTGAGCCAGTTTTCCGCAATTCCAGATCTTTCACTGGGAGGACGTGTGCTCTGCACAAGGAGCGCACAAGGCACTACAGCCGCGTTGCTATGGGGACCAAGACAAGTCTGCCGAGCGCTCGCAGTAATCGCAAGGGACAAGCGCTCCCGACGGGAGCGCAGCGCTGCCCGCCGCGCCCCGGGCATCCCTCCGCCCACCGCGGGCAGCCTCCCGCCGCTCGCACGCCGCGTTCCGAGCGCCGCGGGCCGGGCGGGCGCGATGGAGCCGCCTGAGGGGTCCCAGCCCTCAGGCGGCTCCATCGCGCCCGCCCGGCCCGCGGCGCTCAGGATGCTCGGGCAGCGCCGCGGGCCGGGCGGGCGCGATGGAGCCGCCTGAGGGGTCCCAGCCCTCAGGCGGCTCCATCGCGCCCGCCCGGCCCGCGGCGCTCAGGATGCTCGGGCAGCGCCGCGGGCCGGGCGGGCGGTCGCGGCAGCCCCGGGGAGCCCCGGCGGAGCAGCGGGCAGGCCGTGCGGGCGGCGGGCGCAGGTGGCGCGGGCGGGGCGGGCGCTGCGGAGCCGCGGCGGGGCGGGGAGCGGCCGGAAGTGACGGGGCCGGGCCGGGCTGATTCACCTGCTGGGCGGTGCGCGGGGCGCAGCCCGGGGACGGGGACGGAGTCGCCGCTGGGTGCCCGCCGCGCCATGGAGCTGCCGCCGCCGCCGCTGCTGCTGCTCGGGGTGTCCCTCGTGCTGCTCTGCTTCGCAGGTAGAAGGGACGGGACCGACGGGGAGGGAAAGGGAATGAGGGAGAGAGGGGAGGGTGAGAGGTGGCGGCTCTGTGGGGCTGGGGGGAGGCGCGGCGGGGGTGAGGGGGCTGCTGCCCGCCCGGTGTGCTCCCCAAGGGCTGGGGTGTGCCGCACCTCCGCCCGTCCGTGTGGGTGTGGGTGTGTGTGGGGTCCCCGCCATGTGTGTGGGCGTGGGGGGGGTCTCCGCCCTCAGTGTGTGTGTGTGCGGGTCTCGGCCGTGTGCGGGTCTCTATCGCCCGGGTACTTCCAGCCCCTCTGCCGTGCGCTGCTCGCCCTCAGCCCGAGGCGCGGTGCCCGGGCGGGCGCTGGCGGTGGGGCCGCGCCGCGGAGCCGACCTGGGCTTTGTTCGCCCTCAGCGCGGCTTGCCGAGCTTTATCTATGGCCTCCCCCTCCCCTTCCCCCGCCGCCCTCCCGGGCAGCCCCCGGCGCGGTCGGGGCCGCTGCGCCCGCCCGGTGTCTCCCGGCCGGAGCGGCTCCCGCGGCGGAGTCACGGAAAACCGACGTGGAAAGAGCAAAAGGAAAAAAAAAAAAAAAAAGAAAGAAAAACAAACCAAACCGCAGCCCTGCGTGTGTAGCACATCCAGCATCCAGGATGGTTCTGCTTTTGAGTGCGTGAAAGGGGCCGGGAGGCTCCCGGCGAGCCCTCGGAACCCGATGGCCACGATTGAGCCCTGCAGAGGAAACGTGCGAGGATTTGAGGGTGGGAGGAGAGGAGTTTGGATGGGCCTAAACGCATTTGTTTTTCATGGTGAAAGAAAACAAAGGAGTAGATATTCTCAAACAAAAAAAGCAATCAGCCATACCCAGAACCCACACATACCAAATCAAACGTGCCTGGGCTGCTAAAAAGTAGGCAGATGTTTTTCATCTCAAATACTAGATGTTATTAGATTCCTGTAATGAACTTGACTGCCATATCAGTGTCTAAAATAATAGTAAGCTTTCACTGAAGTTGACCCAAACTTGTGTGAAACTCTAAAAGGTGACAAAACACCTATGGAGGTTTAGGTTCACAGTAAAATGCGTATCAGTAGTGTCAGGAGGTCAGGTTTTATTTCCTATTGAAATGCTAATGCCCGTGTTGATGTCACTGCTGTTTTGGGAAAATTACTCATGGGGTCAAAATTCTGTTTATAATGGAATGATGAACTCTGATCTCTTGAATGAAAGGGAATAGGTAGTTCTGCATTAAATGTGTTTCCTGAAGCAGAGTTAGAAACAAGGTAGGTGCTGTGTAAGAGCTGTGAGTTACTAGTATTTAGTTGACAAGGTTAGTTATCAAGATTTATACTGAACTGCTTCATGTAACAAAAACTGTGGAAAGAACTTGTTGTGAGTAGAATTATATGTACTGCACTTGCACTGCTAGGTTGTCAAAGGCTATGATTATAAAAAGTTAAGAATAATTAATATATGAGAAAATGTCAATCCAGAACAGAATTTTACACTTTAGTTCTGCTGAAGGATACAGGTGTCTGCAGACCTCAGTGTGAAATTGGATAACTTTGTAAATAAATAAATATTCCTGATAAAAACACACATACCTCTTTTAAGATACAGTTATTTGAGTGACTGTACTCTAAACCATGTATATTTCACAGTCCTCTGAAGGAAATAATTTAATAACCTATGTATCATAGGAGTTGATATATCCTCTGAGTTAGCTTGGGTTTTTTTCCCATCAGATTGGGTTGCTGTTTCTGGGTTTGTGCTGCAGATAGACATTACTTCCTTCACTGAAGGAACAGATGTCAGTAAGTTGCTGTTTCCATATGGACCAAACTTAGAGGAGGCTATTTTTTGTGCAGTTGAGTGAAAGCTGTTGTCAGTGAAGCATTGCCGAGGTGCTGAAGTTACTTGAGTTTATAGTGGTTGTGGTTTAACCCTAATAAAAACTAAGGACCACCTACATAGTCACTTGTTCCCTTTGTGTTGAGCTGAGGGAGAGAACTGGAAGGGTGAAAGTGAGAAAACTTGTGGGTGGAGATGAAGACAATTTAACGGAGAAAGCAAAATCCATGCATGCAAGCAAAGCAGAACAAGGAATTCCCATGGGCAGGGAGATGCTCAGCCATGCCCAGGAAAGCTGGGCTCTGTCACAGGTGAGGGTGGCTTGGCAAGAGAAACATTGTCACTCTGAACATCCTCACTTCCTTCTTCACCCAGCTGTGTTCCATGATCATGACATCTTGTGGTGTGGCACTGTCTCCCTGGGTACACAGTGTTAGGGAAGTAATCTCATTCCATTTGGTACAAATTCAAAATTTGTGTAGGGTTTTAAGTGACTAAGAATAACTAAGAGTGCTGAACTTGTGGTCCTGATTTAACAAATATGATAATAATTTACAGCTTTTAAGCTTCTGAAAATGTGTAACGTCAGAACACATATTTTCAATAACTGAGATGTTAACGTAGCCAGATTATACCTATATAAAGATAGATGCTAAAAAAAAGATACTACATGCATAGTGACCCATTTAACCTTTGGAAAAAGCTTTTGCAAAACAGTAATGCTGTGCATGTAAGTGCCCCAACTGAGGATGAAGCTTTTAAATAAAGTAAAAGTTCTGGTAAACCTTAGGAAAATCTGTGGTTATTGCCCTGTCTTTAAACTTGCAAGAGTAATTCCAATATCGTGCATGCAGGAGTAGAACCTAATGCAGGCATGGTAAGTCAGTATTTGGTGGTTAATACACTTTGCCAAATAAGTATAATAAGGAACTTAAGCCTGTTCATGTTTTTATGCATACAATGGGATCTTGCAGAAGCTTAAATTAGAAGTGTGACTACCGCAGGAGTTTCATGATGACTCCCAGTCTTTTAATTGCTAACCTAGTGCATTTCATCTGTTGGGCAGTAATTGTAACACGATGCAGAGTTCAGGTTGTTCTAAAGTATCCACTGACGTGAGAAGTTATCTGAAATTCAGGACCCATTTTCTGGATCTTAGAGTTTTAAGAAGTATGAAAGTCTTTAACCAGAGATTACTTAATCAACTGTTAGTCAACTGCTGTGACATCGACCATGACATTTGAATTAGTGATTTTGCCTTGGCTAATCTGTGTTTCCCAGAAGGTATTTTATGTGTTGAGAATGCTGCTGCAGAGATTATTATAGCTCGTCACTTTGGTCTCTTCTGACTGCCTCCCTGTGTTGCATCAAACTTCATCTGCCTCTTTGTCTTCACTTTGAGTTCTTGCCCCTTGCACAGCCAAGCCCACTTATCAGAGATGAAACTACCCCTCCTGAATGTCTGGTTTAACACCTATTGCTGCTTTACAAAAAGTACATGTGCTCGTGTTTTTATATGAGCATATGTATGCTTTGCTACTGATTCCCTTCACACTTCAAGAAAGTAATCTTGACTATCTTTAATTCTGCCTCAGTATTGGAGCATATTAAAACTCTTTTGCCACAGTGCCTGTAGAGATTTGTACATACTAGAAGCTTGTTTTTGGGGCTAGTATTGTTTCAACATACTTCCACAATAATTTAATCAATTATTGCTTGCATGCTTTCGTAAGCTTGTAATGATCCTTTTTGGTCTTGTTGCAACTTCTGGTTGATTTCTTGAAACTTTTAGATACTGTGTGAAACATTATAAACGTGGAGATATTTTAACAACTGCGTGGCTCACCGGCATGAAGAATATATGTGTCCCCATCCCTCTACTACATCAATTTAGATACACTTTCTTTTTTTGTTTTCTTCTTTTTCCCCCTTCTTTTTAGGGAATTCCTCTTTTGCTACTTTGCACCTTTCAGGGGATGGCTTAGAGAAAAGTCACTTCAGCCAGTTGCCACTGGAGTAAGTGGCAGGAAAGCCACAGTTATGTGCGATATAAGCAGCCCCTGCATCCTAGCTGGTGCTTTCCTTTACTGCAGTTGTAAATGGGTCTCAGTTGCTGACAGCTTAATTTTTTTAAACTGATTAGATCACGTGATTTGAAACAAGAAAGTACTTTGCCACCAATTTGTCCTGCTACAGGGCGGGAATGAGTGACAGGGATAGCAGAAGAGCATTAGAGGAAAACTTGTTCTGTTTGATCAGTATTTTCCCAAAGTAGGGAAATATCTGTAAAACCTTGGCCTGGAGAGAGCTTAGTTGAGGAGTAAGAGTGCATTGCTAAATCAGGCAATCAGTCAAATGTCTAGATGTCACCTCAAAGACTATTTTTGCATCCCATTTGAAGTTGTACCTGGCATTCATCTGGATCCATGATGAGCTAGTTCAGGGGATTTAAAAGTTATAAAAGGAATCAAATTTTGTGAGGTCAATTTTCTACCTGTTCTTTTTCCTGATCCTACTCAGTCAGATCAAGTCTGAATTATAGCAAAGAGGTGTCAGCTGGAACCTCAAATATATTATGGCTATTGTTTATTTATTAATTTATTTAAAAGTCACCTACTTACTGGGTCATGTGTTCAAAACATGATAAGGAGGCAAGATTTGGAGCTTTTTTGGTTTTACATTGGAGCCATTCACTGGTGCTCTGATGTCCTTTAGCTGCTGTCAAGAAGCATCTGAGCTACTTGATGGTTGCAAGTTTTGCAGTTGCACTTGCTGCTACTTTTTTTAACAGATTTGCTTTTCATGCCCTACAGCTAAAGCCTGTATGCTGAAAAATGGTTAGTCAGCAAGAACTATTTGGTCTTGGAGGGAAGAATAAGGATTTGATACATTCTCAACTGTCTGAACTTGTGTAGAATTAGTTTGCATAAGGAAGTTTCCTGTATTCACTTATCCTGCATCTTCAGTTCTTCATTTGAGATGTATTAACAGTATAAGCTACAAGGAATATTTAATCTCAGTTGTTTTAAGATGTAAAAATTAACCTGTATGTGTGCATATAAAAAAAATGATATTTTAAAGTCTCCCTAAATTTTTAAATTATTAGTTAACTTTCTGGCTAATTAGGGCAGATATTCTACTTATTTGAGCTTATTCCTTTCTGTCTGTT